ACAGAGAAAACGAGATACCTGTCTGGAAAGGAACCACTTAACGCAGTGGTGAAGAAGTCTTGCTTCTACTTGTACTGTTAGTGCTGAGAGGCAATAAAAATCATATTGTAGAAGCTGGTAAACTTTTTAATAGTGATTTTAATGGAAATAACTTACAGAAAATGGTGTAATGATGCTAATGAGTATTGGCTTGTTTAAGATCTTTTACTTTCACACTACATACACTTAGGTGTAAATCCACCTGACTTCCCTTGCTGGATGTAGTTTTCAGCTCGGAGGCTGATGCTCTCACATGAGTGAACCCCTCGGTGTTGCTGACTTTTGGTCGAGTGGTTCGACCACTTGCATTAAACACGATGCAACATATGAAAATGCAACTGAATGTCGGGATGCAGTGCAATGAAAATGCTGATCCCATCTGATGGGTCAGTGAGAGAGAAAGGAGGGATTTGCCCCGGGTAAGAGCACATGGAAATGCACAGAGATGAACGCCAAGCCCCAGGTCTCTCAGCCTTTCCTTGTAAGAGACGTGCCCCGTGTCCCTGATCAACTTCGGGGCCTTCCACTGGGCTCCCTCTAGAAGGTCCCTATCACGTCAGCAAGACTCTGTGTACCACACATTTCTCACCAACAAGGACAGAAAGGTTAAATCCTTGGTTGACAGGTTAACAGCATGATTTGCAGCAACAGCTTAAATAAATGGTTGCAGGCACAAACGAGTAGCAGGCAGCTAATCCTTTAAAGGCTTAAGTGCAGCTACTACTGCAGTCCAAGTAAATATTTCAAAATAAAATTAATTAGTGGTGACTGGTGGATTTCCTTCTTTGTTTTGCAAGCCCAGGTTTAAATGGTGACTCCTCCACAGAATTTATGCTTTCAGTGCCAAAACTGCCATTTTGTAGGTGGCTTCTCAAAGACAATGAGTTGTAGTGTTGTTCCTTGCAGTAACTGTAGCAGAACTGGAAAAGTTACAGATGAATCTTGTAGGTCCCTGTTCTCATCAGAGGCATCAAGGGCTCAGTGTCCAACACAAGCACAGCGTAGAGGAAAGGTTTGCTTCCTGATCCTTGTCATAAGTAAGCTCTGCCCAGCCACAGAAATAATGGCCTTAATAATGGCCTTACTTCCAATTAAAAGATTTTTCTTTACACCTTCATAGACAGAGGTCAAAGCAGAAAGGCGAAAACCTCAACATAACCTGTACCCAACCAGCACAAAACACAGCCTGAGACTGGAGAAGAAAAACACTCAAGCAAAAGCAGCAAAAGGTCAATGAAATCATTTGAAAACAATCATTTACAATCCACAATCAACCCTTTTTTTTCCCAAGATTTTTTTCCTTTTACCTTGACCTTTGACTCCATCTCAGAACAAAACCAATTTTCTCGTGAGGGAGGAATCTCTCGTGGTCCACTGAACTGTCTGGATTATTTTTAGTTAAACACAGCATTCCTAAAAATCTCAAGCTGCTTGTGTATTAAGGAGGGAGCAAGGAAGCCCTGTGACCACACACCATTTCACACGGCAAGCAAGAACACAGCATGCCAGATGGGGCTGAATGCAGAGCTCTAGGAGAAAGAGCAGTGTGCCTGCAGTTTTCAGTAGATAAAGGAAGGGGAAAATGGACAGCGTGCACTTACCCACTAAAATGATGAGCTGCAGCTCAAGAGCACAGCAATGGGAAATCTGCCCACTGGAGAGGCAGAAGTCAAGGAGATTTGGAGATCTGGAGATGGGGAGATCTTGCTGGGAGGAGCAGGACAGATGCCCAAAGGGAAGGGTGAGGAGAAAGCTTATGGTAGCAGCTCAGGGAGAGGCAGAAGATGTGAGAAGTGGTTGTATGAATGAGCTGATGTCAGGGACATTTAAGGACTGAGCATGAGGGGGAGGAGTGGGGGAAACTCATTTAGACCTCAGCATAAGTGGAGTATAGCACAGATCTGATTAGACGGGACAGAACTGCGGTGCCGAGTCATTTCTTCCTGCCCTGCAGGGTTTTCATGTCTTCTTTTATGCTAAGCAAAATCCATATCGCCATAAAAGTAGCATTATAGCACTGAGCCTCTCCGTTGCTGAATTTGGCTAACTGCAGATGGCAGAAGAGAAGCAGACCCCAACCACAGGGTGTAATCTGAGTGATGGGTACCAGAAAAGCACTCAAGATGCCACTGTCAATTGTGATGTTTGAACAAATAAAACACTCATTTTAAGGCTATATTTGGAGCACATTGGCTGTATCTAACATGCTCCAAGTGAGTCATCACATTCTCTCTCCCTCATCTCCACAGATGTTTCATACGATTTCTGCTAATATATTTTCAGGACTAGGATTGGTGACAACCACTCCTCTCTGCAGATAGTCCTCAGCCCTCAACCAGCACAGCATCCAGGCAGGCCTCGAGGATCAGCTTATCAATGAGGACATAAAATCACTGCTGAGAGAAGAGAATCAAGGTGAACCCAACAAGGAGAAACAAGAAACCCAAGCTCCCACTTTTCTCCATCACTGTAGAACCAGCGGTGAGCCCTGCTCTTCTTCCCATCCCATGAACCTCCCCTACAGGACAAACACATGGAGAAGCTCAGAGAGGTCAATCAGCAACAATGCCACAAAACACACAATATAGTGCAAGGAAAACTGCTGCTCAGGGCACTGCACCCTGTTTCCCAGGATGTTCCCTGTACAGCTGAGCAGAGAACCGTTTGCATAAGGCTTTGGATAACTGTAGCTTTTCCTATTGCCCCTTTCCACTGCTGAGCACCTCTCTGTCTCCTGTCTTTGCCATTTGATACAAACAGCCCCTTGCAGGCAAGGCTTTGCTGCAGGATTTCAAGCTCGGTGCTTGTAGATAATGTCTGCAGCTACTCAGACAGTCTTCACTGCTACCCAGACTGACCAAAGAAGTTGTGGATGCCCCATCTTTGAGGTGCTCAAAGCCAGGTTGGATGGGGCCACGGGCAACCTGACCTGGTGCTTTGACTGCTTGAGGGACATTTCCTCTGATGTGATGATGCTCAGGAATTTGCATTAAGCTGTGCTCACTCCAGACACTTAAATAAAAATAATGAGATTGATCGAAAAGGAGTCTTTGCTTTTATAAAGAATACATTTGGTGCAATTTCTTTGTGACTTCTTTGCAGCTCAGGCCTCCGGGAGACTCTAGAGTCAAACAGTCATAAATACACCACACCACAGCAACAGAACAGCACTGAGGATATAATGCAGGCGCTCATAAAATAGAGAAAAGCCTTAACTCTGGGTGCTTGTTCTTACTGCAGTTCTTGTGTGTAACAATACCCCACTGAGCCATATAAATGCCAACTATTTTTATCTAAGACAGCTGCCTCGCCCAGAATGGATGATGCTCAATATAGGAGACAGCAATTTGGTATTATCCTCATCCATCAGTGCTCAGCCTGTGCCTCGCTCATTGGTCAAGCTCTGCTCTAGAACCAGAAACTTCTCCACAGTAATGAGGCTGTTGTCATATCCCAGCACTCAGGCACCAGAACAACAGCGTATGAGAACAGCCTCATCTAGAGGGAGAACTCTGCTGCCCTCATGCAATGCTTGAACAAAAACATGAGCTGACAGCACCGGCTATCCTCAAAGCTACACCAGAGGAGCATCACTGCTATATGAAAGAACCGTGCTCATCATGGAAACAAATGCTTGCAGTAATTCTTCCAGATTTTCCAAAATGTAAAGTCAGTTTGTTTTCTGAGAAAAAAAAATGAACAGCAGGTATTACTGCACTGCAGCCAGACCACAGAAGTTTGAGCATAAGGAAGGTTATACTCTGGAGGAAAGCCATGCTTAGAATACAATATGTGAACACACAGAATGAGGTAGTCAGGACCTACATTTTTTTGAGTAGTAAATACACCTTTTTCCTCATAAATAGACATAAAATATCCCCATGCAGAGGAAATATTCCATGTGTCCCTCCCTCATACAGACCGCCCCGAAAGGGACTGATTTATTTGCACTGTGCTTTTGTCAAATGACAAATAAATTGCCATCTCTCCAGAGAAGTCAGCATGCTCCCTCCGTTCCCTAACCCTCTGTAGCAGCCCCAGGCTTCCCAACTTCCTGCTGCCCCTCAGCTCCCCTCTGCTCCTTCTTTTCCATATAAACTTCCCTTCCCCTTCCTCTCCCGTCTCCCCAAACCAAACAAACTCACATTCTTATCCCCTTATAAAGGCTGATTCATGGCTTTGCGTCAGCAGCAGAGTTTCTGGCCAGACCCAGCTTTAACTGAGGGATTTCAGCTGCTGTTAAGTGGTGGTGACATCTGGGAAGCTGGGCTGCCATCGGGAGCATGAGACTGGTGGTGGCCAAGGCCAACGTGACGCAGCAGAGCAGGGGACATGCGTAGCTGTTGCCTTGGGAGGAGGGAAGGGAAAAGGGAGATCCTAGATTCTATCAGTTGTTCCTCAGAGCACGCCAGCAGGGCACGCACAGGCCAATGAATCGAGTCAACCCGGGGAAGAGACGGAGTTTAAAAAAAACACAACCTCGGCTCAGGCTCTGGGTTTGATCTAGAGCACTGGAGGAAGAATGGCAAAGTGAGGGAGGAAAAAGTGAATCTTGGCCTTCCAAATCACAAGTGGCCCAGGGTTGAAAGAGCCCTGAAGGATTATCTAGATCCAACCCTCTGCCTGAGTTGCCACCCACCATTTCAGGCTGCCCAGAGCCCCACCCAACCTGGCCTTGGGCACCCACCGCTTCTTTGGGCAACACAATGAAGCACAGACTGATGCCACACCTGAGGCACTGCATTGCTGCTCTACGGAGGGTAATTACTGATCCAGGTGAGCCGGGGTCCTGCAGAGCAGTCAGAGCTGTTGTGAAGCTGCTGGCTCAGCAAAGCTTATTGCTGATTATAGCAACTGCATCAGAAACTGGAAGCAGTAAGCAGCAGCATATTCAGCTCATTGCCCAGAACCATTTCTAGACTACACTGAAATCTGTGAAGGTGAAAAAGATGAACTTATGATTTGTACACAGAAGACAGAGAAGTTTATTTGTGTTAAACACATATACTTGCATCTTGCATTTCTGTGTCTTGTCACATAAGTTGATCTTCAGGATATTCAGTTCAGTCCCACTTCAGAGACAGTGAGCTTTGACTTTGCATCAAGTACAGACCCACCAATCTATTTCCCCTGAATAACCTATGGCTGAAGCTAGCAATACAATACAAACAAGATTTATCCAGTACAAACTATACAGACTTGCTTTTTGCTGGTCTAGGGAGTAATTAGCAACATATCATCTAGACAAAGACAAAATAATCCCAAATATACACACAGTTAGAATTCAAGCGTCTGCAATACCCACACACCAATCAAAACCAAGGTTTAGATATTGAGATTCTTTAAGTCCTGGTCCAGATCCCAGTTTTTCTCCCCATCTCTATTTGCTTTAAAATAATGAGTAAAATCCAGACATAGTAAGTCCTTTTGGAGGATAACAAGTTGACTTTGCCATAAGCAAGAGAGGCATGGAGAACAGCCGGCTTCTGAAAAAAGTCTGTTGGACAAATAGGATTGGTCAGTGTAATGATGAATTGCACAGCAAATGCAGTACGTGCAAGTTATCTCATGCAAGTGCAGTTTGCATTTGACTTCCATTACTCCAGACAAGCACAACACAAGTAAATTGGGAGAATTTTGGATGGGCAGAGAGCAAAAACAGAAAGAGATGCAAAGCGTTCGCAACACTAAACCCAAGGGTGGCCACAATCTCTCAAAAAACAACCAACCAACCAACAAAACTCTTTGAAACAGTATAGAAAAACAAATATCTTTACTGATGGAACTCTCAGACTTATCTATTTTTGGAGATCAGCTAGAATTGCTTTGCTGAGGAACTTCTTACAAGCAACTGGCATCATATACCCAAGAGGAAAAATACAGTAAATCACACGTTCTTCCCACCTAACTTTGCAATCCTTTTGGTCACTTTCACATTCAGCCCCCATCCCCACCAGCTGAAAGCTTTTAAAGCCTCTCCGCAGGGTTTTCAAGACCAGGACGATGCATCTTGAGACTGACACACTTAAGATTTACAATCTTAAAGGCTCCCTCCAATATTTAAGATCACTAGCAGCTCTTAACACTAACCTACTGGTAATGCTGTCCAGAACATGATTCAGTCATCAAAATCTGGGATATCATCGTAGGAATAGCCCCTGTAGCCTTTGGAAGCATAGTATGCAATGCGCAGGTGGTAGAAGCCTGGGAGGAATACGAGGATCCCAATGATGAGCACGGGGATGGCACGGTCTGTTCCCTGCAGCAGAGAGAAGAGCGATGTAAGTGCCACGAGAAGGGATCTGCATCAAGGTCTTTTTCTTATTCATCCCTATAAGGGTTTCCTGGCCCAAAAAATTCATCTCGAATCAGAAATCTCTCAAGCTTTATCATGCTAAACTCTGATGCCCTTCCTGGTCTGCTCCTCGCTACAGGAAACCTCAGCTGAACTTTTCCTTCGGGTAGGAGGGTGGCTCCTGCTGACACGATCACATTACAAAACTGCCAACCACAGGCCGGGCGCTGAGCGCTTGGCTAAGATCAGCCCTGCTATCAGCGCCTGGGCTGCTTCCGATACGGCCAAAATGCTGCTGCTTCCACACTGATAAGCAGCAGCTGCCAACTGTAAAGCAATTCCATCCTGCGCAAGGCAAAAAGTGAAGTATGCCAAGTGCAGCATCAATGGCAAGTATCAGATCTGCTTCCAGTGGGTCATACATGTAGAGGAGATAAATAGTGCTGCGTCCTGCACGGCAACCAGGTGTCCCCTACAGAAAGCAGCAGATCATTGTTAGAAGCACGCTGATCAGAGTGTTATTCCCACCAAGACAGCAGTTGGCATTAAAAGGAAACCACACTACCAAGCAGGACGTAGAAACTCAGCCCATCCTGACAGATATCCCACCCAGCCTGGAGCTAGAGAGCTCAAGGGTTGGATGTGAGGAACAGTTTCTTCTCAAAAGAGTGGGCAAGCACAGGCACGGGGAGGTGGTGGGGTCCCTGGAGGTGTCCAAGAACTGTGGAGATGTGGCAGAGGGACATGGTCAGCAGCATGGTGGAATGGTTTTGATCTTAGGGGCCTTTTCCAACCTGAATGATTCTAAGGCTGATTCCATGATTCTAAATGGAGCTGTCAGCAAACACTGCTGTGGTAGTAGAGGGAATTACTTTCTTGCTTATAGACCTTTTGTGCCAAGTTTCTGCACTGAAATTATGGCTCATGGCAGGCTTTGGGAGGGGCAAACACAGAACTAGAAAAGAGATGCAGTCAATCCACTTACGCCTTTGCTAATGTATCCTGCCAAGAGGAGGGCTCCGATGATAATGAGAAAAGTTCCAATCATGAAAAGCACAACAGCCAATGCAATTGCCTTGTAGGGGATTTTTGGTGGGCTCTTCTTGAACTGGATGGAAAAAACCCAAACGTTAAGCAGCTCATCTCAGTGCTGTTCCCCTACAACCATGGCAGAGATGTGAATATCACAACCGGCAGAGGACAAGAACCTCTGCTGCAGCCTCCCTACAATGAATCCTGTCCATGCATCCCCTGCTTTCTGGGGCTGCATTTACACCCATTGCTCTGATTTTCATCCCCCTCCAAATAAATGAAGCTGACTCTGTTTATTAAACAAACAATGTTATTTCCAGTTGAGCTCTGTGGGTTTTCCTGAGCAGAAGGGCTAAAATTCTGTGATTAAACATGGTGAGGTTGGACTTGATACCTTGGATACCTTTTCCAACCTTCATGATTCTATGAGTGGGCACGGTGATGATGGGTCAACAGTAGGAATTTACTTGCAGAACAAAGCAGTTTTTTTCCCCACACTTTACCTGCAGGTCAATATATCCATCATCAGTGCTGGCGAGCTTGGAATATTTGACTTTGCTACTGGGAATCCCAGCAGAGAGATTCGTTCTTGATGGCATCATTACAGTGAGGTGTGGGCATCAGCTAGAACCTGGAAAACATAAATAGACAAAAAAAAAAAAATCAGAGCAAACTGGGTGATAGGGTCAGATGAGGACTATGTTTATTATGGCAAGCACAAGGAGTGTCAAGCTGATACTAACCAGAAGAAATTTATTTTCATAAGTTACATCTTTTCAAACAAAGCTTTGTATCCAAGCCTAAAATACAAAGACATGGATATGCTTCCTCCCTGGCAGCACTCAAGGCCAGGCTGGATGGGGCTGTGAGAAGCCTGGTCTGGAGGGAGGTGCCCCTGCCTACAGCAGGGGGCTAGAACTTGATGATCTTAAAGGTCCCTTCCAACCCAAACCATTCTATGGATTCTATTATAAATGCAGAAGGCAAATTTGTCAATATTTGAAAACAAAATTAATGTAGGACGTGTTTCAAACCTCATACTGGTTCCAGAATAATATCCCTTGTGTAAATTGGCTCTACTGCACAAGGAGGTCACGCTTCCTGCTGCAGGATGTCTGAGGTCTACCTATTTCTAAACAGGGTCATTAGCAAACAAACCCAAACCAGAACTAAACAAAGCAGCTTTTCAACCAGACAGATATTTTGCAATAAATCCATTTGGGGAAAAAAAAAGTTAAAAAAAATAAAACTAATGTGAAATGGAGCTATCATCATTGGGATAGCTTGAGGCCTGAGTCAGAGGGAGCATGAGGGGGTGAGCACTGGGTGAAGCAACCAAAATGCAGGAAGGGGCTACAAACCATAGGTCACTCCTCTATCCAGCTGCAAGGCAGGAAGTGTTCAGGGCTGCACTTCATGGAGCTGCAGCAGAGCTGAGCCCTGCAGTTTCACTCCGTGTGCAGCCAGGCCGTGGTTTTGCTACCAGCAGCGACAGCAGTGCTGATTGGAGCAGGGAGGTGGGCAGAGCCAGCGCTCCTCTTCTGGGCACTGAAGGTGGATCCGACCTCATGCAGCCCTGACTCAGTGCAGAGCCCCTCAGTGAGAAGTCCTGCAGCTTCCATGCAGGATCTGCGCGTGGGGCAGCGCTCACCCTGAACCCGCTGCCTTCCCAAAGGTACAATTTACTCACTGCACCAATTCAATAACTTCTAATTTCTGGAAAAGCGTGAATAATAATAATAAAAAAGCACACGACCTCATGAGCATATGTCCCAGATGATAAAGGTGCCTTTCTGCAATTGTGTTTGATATCCCATGCAATAGCATCTCCCCAAAGCATGCTCTCCACTGGAACAAAATAAATCCTTCGTCTCCCTCAGTGCTAACAGAAATTCTTTTTGCAATCCTCTCTGCTCACTATGCTTTGGTAAATCCCCCTTTAATGCAACTTTTATTTAAAATAAATTTAAAAGAAATAACAAAAACGCAACACTGTGATCTTAAACCCTCCCACCTCCTTAATGTGAACTTATTTTGCTTCTTATGGAGGGGAAAAAATACGCATATCCATCCCCATTGAGAGTGGGAATGCCGCCCACCTCCGGGGCAGTACCAGCCCTCCTCAGCTCCTTACCCATCCCTTTTTTTAGCTCTCACCCATCCCTTTTTTCCCTCAGTGTGCCCAAATGCCCTTGGAGACTCCCACGAGCCCTCGGGGTAGAAGTGCAAAAAGGAAGCAGGCAGAAGAGAACAGCACATCCAAACCTAACAAAGATCCCCACTCGGCCCTGTTGTGCCATGGGATTGTTTATGCTCCCTGTCTCATTGCTCATGGGCTGATTCCCAGTGGCCTCCCAGGGATTACTGCTGATTTACACTAACTGTCCCAGCACACTATTAAGGGCAAATGCACAACACTCCCTCAGACTCCACATTAGGGGCTACATTCAAGCCCAAGCAAATGTAGCGCTGCAGGCCAAAGTCCTATTTCTCCCCCAGAGATCCACAACACACTTCTACCCTCAGTGCCCACATCAGGGAGGGGAGCAGGATGTCATTTCCTGCCCCGCGCAGAGCTCAACGCAGACGCAATACACCCAACCAACCCCCAAGGCCCCCCCATGGATTCCCTGCTGCTAAACCCACATCAGGCCCATCAAATCCCCCAAAATCTGAGCTCTGCGAGGTTACGAGCAGTTACCTACGGCTCACGCTGCTGCTCAGAGCCATCGCTGCCAGCGCCGCTTCCTGGCCGCACCAACCCAGGAAGTTTATTTTGATGACGGCTGTTTCCTTCCAGGTTACGGCCGCAGCTTTGCTGGCTCAGCTCTGCGCGGTTTTTCCGAGCCTGGCGCTGAGGGGTGGCAGCTGGAGGGCTCAGGGAGCTGTGGGCAGGCAGTGCGGGCACATCTGCTCCATGCAATCCGCTGTGCGTTGCCCTGCATGTAAAAGGAAGCACTGGGTATCGCTGAACTGCAGACACAGCACAGCCCTCAGTCACTCAGACACATCTAACAGGCAAGCCAGAGCCAAACGGTATTAAAAGCACCTGTATTAATTGGGAGGAATCACAGCTGGGATTCACTCCATCCAACTGCTCCCAGAAAAGCAGCCGAGAGTGGTTGCAATTCCTGCAAATCAACACATGCACTGATCTGCCACCCTAAAATTGATTTCTCCTGAAATCGCAAAAGGATCCTCCATCTCCTACTTTTCCTCAATCAGACATTTTTGCAAAGGCCTCAAAAGTTTCCCTCTTCCAACAGGGAGAAACAAACAGCATTTTACTGCACCTCCCCATTTATTTTTAAGAGGGAGCAGCTGTTGGTTTTTCAGCACTGTTGTGGCAACGGCAACGTGAATATTCATACATTAAGCTGATGCAAGGGTTTAGCAGAAGGCACAGCCACAACTCAGAAGTGCACAGACGATGCTGAAAGGTGTTTCCTACTATGAGAAACAACTCAATCTCATTGTTACAGCAATAAGTAATGAAACCATGTGGCTTATTTTTATTTATGGGTAGAACAGCAGACATAGGAGGTCAGCAGCACTGCAGCAGGAGGCGGCACAAGAAGCTATTTGCTTCTAATGCAGCACATCACTGACATTGAATCCTCCCAACTCCCATCATGGGTGTTTAATTCCCCTCTGAAGCACTTAATTGCACTTGGTAGTACAACAGCAACCCAGTGTGAGCAGCATTACATGTGGGGTTAAAAAAACCCATCCCTCCTACGGAGAATTCCCATGCACAACTGAGCTGCTGCTGCAGTTTTAGGCCAGCTGTTGCTGTCAGGCGTTTCCTGAAGGTCAGCAACATCAACACTAAGAGAATAAAAGTGGTGCACTCAGAGATATGAGAAAGCTCAATATGAGATCTAAGACACTGTCCACAGAAAAAGATGTGCTGCTGAAAGCTTAGAATGAAAGACACGAGGAATTCCCACCAGCAGCCTTTGAGCAGGAACTGCTCTGTGAGCAGCCCTGTCATTCTGACACAGCAGAACTGGTTGCCTGATCAGCACTGCCACCTCACAAAGGTCTTCTGCTCCACCAGTGTTACCCAGCTGCCCTGCTTGGGGCACTTCGCACACAGGACATTGTGGATGATCAGTGGAAACAAGCACCTTCTATAAGAACAATGAACACAGTATTAAGACTGCAAGTACTCAATACTGATCAAGCCAGCGAATTGCTCCTGTGTTTATCTTCATTTGTCGTGGAGTCACTGAGGATGAAGGGCAAGGATTTAGGTGGATAGTAGCAACGTAGTTACTGAATAAAAACACTTTACTCAGAACTTCTCAAACCCAGCTTCCACCATCAAGCCACAAAGCACACTGCAAACTTGGCATCTCCATGAACGGTAACTTAAGTAAAACATTCTCAACGTAGGTGACTGCAGCACATTTGCCACACGTGGGGCAGACACAAGAACAGAACTCATGCAGAGCTGCTGAGGAATGGCTTAACATCAAGAGAGCAGTAACAGAGCCGAAAGCAAGACTTTCCAGCCCGGGTTTAAGGCACTATGGCACCACAGCATTTGTCTACATACTGACTTCATTGAAAGCACGGGTGACAGCCCCAGGATCAGTCCATGCTGGAACAGCTGAGTCTCCAATATGCAAATCTTGTTTATTTTAAGGAAAACATTTCACAAATCTGTTCCACTGGAACAGGTTGCCCAAAGGAGGCTGTGGATGCCCCATCCCTGCAGGCATTCAAGGCCAGGCTGGATGTGGCTCCGATGCCCCATCCCTGCAGGCATTCAAGGCCAGGCTGGATGTGGCTCCGGGCAGCCTGGGCTGCTGGTTGGCGACCTGCACACAGCAGGGGGTTGGAAATGGATGAGCGCTGTGCTCCTTTGCAACCCATGGCATTCTATGACTCTAAACCTCACTAGCTTAAAGCAGCATCACCGATGAATTAGTTAACTGAGGTTTCCTATCTCTTTCAATTCAATGCTTTAACAGAGGGACTGTACACCAGCACCTTTTGACAAAGCAGTGATTGATCTGCTCACACTGAAGTAGGATAAAACCATGAAGTTATTTTTTATTTCCACATTTCAGTTAGAATACCAGCTTCAAAAATAAATGAAGGGGAAAATAAACTTGTGGCATACTTAAACAGCAACCCTAACCAACTACAGTTCCACAGGTGAAAATCTAGGAACCATCTTTACTGAAATTAAATATTGCACTCCTTTAACACACGTTAAGAGGAGTATTTCACCTAAAGACAGCATCTAAAAAACTATTGCAAGTATAGGCATAGGCTAGAAAAAAAAATTCCTATTTCAAATGACATCAGTATAGCAAAACAAGTTGAAAAATATTTACAGAGATATCTACAGAACATCCTTAACAGTGCTGACTCGATGCTGCAATGCACTGACATTTCTAGTAATGTGGAAGACAGCAGACTTCCTTCTCCAAGCTGGTTGTGCCCCCCAAGAGCTGAGCAGATCTCCCCCTCAGTCCCAGTGCAGTTAAGAGCCTTCTTGCTGGTCTTCAATCTTTGGAGCCAGGTAGTATTTTAAATGTCCCATATCAGCGATCTTGTACTCCACAACTGGCAAAGACAAAAGGGCATTCAGAAGTTCTACATAAAAGCAGTTAAATACATTCCTAATAGAGTCTGGATAGTGGCAGGACCAGGGGGAATGGTTTTAAACTGAGACGGGAGATTTAGGTTGGATATCAGGAGGAAGTTTTTCATGCAGAGGGTGGTGAGGCAATGGAACAGGTTGCCCAAGGAGGCTGTAGATGCCCCATCCCTGCAGGCATTTGAGGCCAGGCTGGATGTGGCTCTGGGCAGCCTGGGCTGCTGGCTGGCGACCTGCACACAACAGGGGGTTGGGACCAGATGAGCACTGTGGGCCTTTGCAACCCAGTCCATTCTATGATTCTAAGGGAGATTCTTTTACAAGGTTTTCAAGAAGAGCTGCTTCTACTTACCCAGAGGAACATCTGCAGACATGCTGAGTGTTACTGTAGGTGACAGGGGGGTGGCTTTGGTAAAAAAGTTCAAATACCTCAGAGCAAAAGTCAACTGGACTGGCTCATTCATTTCTATTGTAACCTGGAACAACATCAGCCAGATCAAAGTTTGGTAAACGCAAGTTGCAGTGAGTTTCCCCAAACTTCTCAAATCAGCATCACAGACCTGGACACCTCATGCACAGTTCTAGCCTCCGCTCTGCTCCATGCAGGGCTGCTTCAAACCCCACAGCTAAGAAAGTGCCAGCAATGATTCATTGACTCTGTTCTATACATCAGAGAAATACTGGATCCAGTGATCTACTTTAGCCCCAGTCACATCAGTAGAAACTTCAGCACAGAAGACACCACAGTAACCATTAACATTCAACTTACAGCTTCTTCCTCTTTGTCCACGTTACTGGTCTGTGACAGCTTGATGTTTCCATTTCCTAACTCTCCATTAGCTGAAAATTTCACACCGTCTTTTGCACAGGAGATTACAACAGCATCACCAATGTGGCTGAGGTCTCTACAGATGCGTGCAAATTCAGCAGAAGGCATTTTCACAACACAACTGTATTCTTGTTCCTGGAAAAGTAGTGATAAACTTATACCAAGGAGCTTTAAAACTTTTGAATTCTAGGTTTGTACATGAGGAAAGCATGCTGTCCTAAGAGTGTGTGCAGTCATTCAAACAACTACTTACTGGAATTCCAAGCTGTTCCACATCGAGATCCATAAGCTTCATCTCATAATCAGAAACCTTTTCCTGATCTAAGGAAACAAAGCAGTTTTGACCAAGTGTTTCAGAGAAGTTATCACCTCAAGTTTAAATTTTGCCCAGTTTTTCTTCCAAAAGAACAAGGCCTTAATTATGACAACAGGATTCACTTTACTTGGTGACCTAAAGAGCCTTCTGGATGCTACTAAAGGAACGCAGGCTGCCAAGATGAACCTGTAAGCACTTACATAGCTCAGGGATGATTTTCTTATAAGGAGTATTAGGTAGATTTCTACACCTCCAAAGCATTTTAAGTATTTATATACCATGCAATTCCTCCCACTCTTCACAACAACCACGCACTGCTTGGTCTACGAAGACTGCCTTTGTTTTCTGGTAGCACACAATGTCACAAATACCACTCACTTGGTGCTTCAAACACGAGAGCCAACGTATCCGCATTGTCTTCTGCCCTAAGAGTTATGATGTCTTCATTTCCAGCACACTTCAGTATTTTAGACATGCTAGGGGACAAAAGGCAAATCACTACAGATTACAGAGCACGAACACCCTCCCATAACCTACCAGCGTTAAAACACACCTAACGTGTCTGAAATCACAGAACTTGCATGTTTTCCGTTATTCCTACACGTTACCACTAAACCCTTCTAGGTGCCCGCTGCCGCCAAGCTCTGCGCCTGCTGCACACACTTTAGCATTGAGTAGAAGCTGCAGCCAGGTAAAAGGAGCCGGGCCGGGGCGTGCAGTGAGCGCCAGGGGGGCGGGGCGGCAGCGCCATTTTTCCCCGCCAAACTTTCCCGCCACAGCGCGGCGCGCGCCCAGAGCCGGCAGTGACGTCACGGCTGCTGGCGGGCGCCGCGAAAAACGGCGCGAGAGCTGTGAGGAGAAAGGGGGAGGGGCGGGGGGGCCTGGAAGCGGAGCCGAGCACAAAAAAACCGCTTCCACACCGCGTGAGGCCCAAACCGCACATCTTCCTCTTATATCCCCCCGCCCCAGTAGAGCTCGCTCCCTTCAATGCTTGAGGCCGGGTCCGGCCCCTGCGCGGTCCCACCGCCATTACCTGTTGAGGTTGACGCCCATGGCGATGTTACGGTCGCAGCGGTAGGTATCGAAGCCCTCAGAACGCAGCGTGAGCTGCACCAAAGAAACGTGCGAGGAGTCCATGCTCTGCAGGCTGATGCCGCCTGATCCTAGGTCCCAGCACGCCTCGGTGATGAGGTCCTTCAGGGCCTCCAGCACCCGCTTGAGCACCGAGCCCTGCACAAGCCGCGCCTCAAACATCCTGGCGGCAGCAGCGAAAATAACCACGACACAGAGCACGACACGGCCGCCAACTGCAGTAGCCCGCCCAAGTCACTCTTATATAAACTACGCCCCGCCCACCGCCGCACCGCAGTCAATCGCAGCTCTCCCCTCTCGCTCTGCGATGCCCTACCCACGCTCATGTGACAGATGCTCACCTCTCCGGCCAATCGCGACGCCGTTTCTACACCTTAATCCCGCCTCCTAACGCCAATGGAACCAATCAACACACGTGTTATACAGCACCGCCCCGCCTCGCCGTGAAGCTATGGCGGTGGGGCCTGCGAGGCCTGACAGGAACTCCGGGCCTGAGCGAACACCGAGGGGAATTCCCTCTCTGAAACAAAATCGACACTATTCGGGCAGCGCCCATGCAAGGCGCTCGCCGGCCTGCTCCTCCCACCCTGCGCTCAGAGCCGTTTTCCCTGCTCCACCACCAGCTGCGCACCCGCGCCCACCCATCACAGCGGCGGCCTCCTCGCATCCGGGTACACATGGGCGTGGCTTAGTCCCGCCCCCCGTGGCCGTTCCGCGGCTGTGATTGGCGGGCGGCTCCCGGTCCTTTCCCTGTCCCTGGCTGCGGAGGGCGCGTAGCGGCGGCGGTGCGCGGAGCAGAGCTGCGGGTCGGGATGAGCGAGCTGCGGCAGCGGCTGTGCGGGGAGCGGGAGCCCGAGCCCGAGCCCGAGGAGAAGGTGGGTAACGGCGGCGGCGAGGCGAAGCCTTCTCCTGAGGCGTGGCGATGCAGCGGGCCGGGCCTCGGTTCTGGGGGCTGAGTGGGAACCCCTGGGGCGGCCGGCGGGAAGCGGAGGCCCGGGCCGGGTGCAGCTCCTCGGGGGCAGTTCCTCGGGTGCGGGGTGGTTCCACGCTCGGCGGCATTTCGTAGAGCATCCCGAGCTGCAACGGCCCGCGGGGCTTCTCCTTCAGCAGAAATAGCAGTGGTTTAATGGGATTTAACGGCGATGGTTTGCTGAGGATCGGCCGTGGAAGGGAAATCTGATGGTTTTCCTGTAGCGTCCGTTCTGCTTCGGCCACAAACGCGATGCTCGGAACTTGGCATCGCCCACAGGAGCTGCGGTGTCCCATCACGGAGGTGCCCGAGGCTGGTGGGGGGCACCCAGCGCACTGGTGGGAGCTCTCAGGTCCCTTCCAGCCCAACCATGCTGTGATTCCGTGGTTCTGCGATCTTTAAGGACCTTTCCAACTCAAACCTACATTATCCCATGGCTGTTTGATCTTTCAGGACCTCCCCAGCCCACTCCATGTTTTTTTGATCTTTAAATATCCTTCCAACCCAAACCCAAGCCCTGTGATCTTTAAGGAGAATTCTGACCCAAACCATTTCAGTTTTAGAGCCTTTAAGCTCTCTTCCAACCCCAGCCATGCTGTGATCCTCTGCTTTGCTCACGTCTTACTCAAGTGTAAAGGAACAAGAGGAATAAGCAGTCCAAAAAAAGTTTCTCTATGCAGATTATAACCACAAAATCACGACTGGAGGAAAAAGTAGTTCTTTGCTGCTTTCCGGTTCAATGCAGGTGTTTTGGGGCAGCCCAATGCTTGCCCTTAGCAGCACTGTGTTGACATGATTCCTCTGCTGATGCATGAAGTATTCAGAGAAGCAAGAAATCATCATGCAAAAGTCTCTTCTTCAATCAAAATGTTACATTTTATGTTGCTAAATATTACATTTAACACTGTTTTAAATGTCAGGCTAACACCTGTTGGGAGTTGTGTTTGAGTAAACTTGCTGGTTCCGATGTGCTTAGAGTGGGTGTTGGAATGGAGAGTACAGACAGCATCAAGAATGGATTTCCTTCACGTAGATCTGAGGCTTTGCCTTTTTTTTGGCTCTTACAGCTATCCAACATCCAGATCTCCATAAGATCCCTATTTCATTGCTGTGCCCAGAGCAAAACTTAACCTCTAGATAAGTGCATTTGTCTCCCTCAGAAGTGACTTTGCAGCAGAAAATCTTCAGGGACTTTTATATTCCAGAACTTTGGTGGGAGTTGGAAGGTGTCCCTCAGAAGCCTGTGAGTACCAGTGCTGCTTCACTGGCATGCAAACAAACTCCCTCAGCCAAGCTGCGATCTCTTTAGCTGCTTGTGATGTGTTCCTAAGGAAGGTCAGAGGGCCACTATTTTGAGTACAATCCTGTTATCTTCAGGCAAGTACGCTTTTTAAACACATTGAGCCTCCTAAAGGGCTTCCTAATATTGCCTTGGAGTTGATAACTTGAAGTGTCCTTAGGAGGGAGCATAATATCTGTGTCATGCTGCTCGGCTTAAATGAGTTGCAAGGGGAAAAAAAAAAAAAGATGTTTTCAGCTAGTGAAGAGCAGCTCCTTGGAGGTGCTGAGCATGATGTCTCCTAACAATAGCAGGCAGCTGCAGGAGGCAGAGAATTTCCCCAAACTGCTACAGCAAGTCTGGTAGGAGGTTACCTGGTAACAGCAATACTGTATTAGAAATACTGTACAGCACTGCACTTCCTATGGCAGTATGCTTCCATGGCAGGCTTGTCTTCCATGACATCAAACTGCTGTGTTTTAGAGCTTGGTAATGTCTGGCAGAGGCTGGGAATAATGGTGGATATAAAGCCAACACAGCAGAATTTCGTGTGCTTTGTGTGCCCAATGCTGGTATTGCTGTCAGGAGAGGAGATCCCTGTTTCTGCTTTGTCATTCAGTTGGCATTGCCACAAAAACTAATTCAGCCATGCATATTGTATTGTACAGAAACCTATCTGCTGAAAAGAACTCTCAGCTTCTTGATAGGAACAAGTTAAAAGGAGATGTAAATGGCCAGGCTGGTTTGAATAGTAGACTTGGAAAGTTGTGTTTTCGACTCGTTTTCACTTTGCGCCGTTTTGATAACGGGAAGGAGGAGGGTGGTTTCACTTTCTGGTCCCATAACCCTTGCACAGTGTCACAGCTTTGATGCTGTCCTCCCCTTTGATGCGGCACAATGCGTGTAGCTGGAAGTGCTGCTTCGGTTGAGACTGTCATGCAAGAACGTTTTAAAATCAGTTTTGTAGAGCTGTTGTGCAGCACGCAGTCTTTGTCTCAATACAAACAAGGCAACATCTGTTTGAGTGAACTCCATCTGATCTCTCCAGTTAAAAAAGCAGGGAAACTTGTGCTTGGTGCCCATTCTTTTTGCACAAACAGGTGCTGTTAACTGTTGCCATTAATGTTGTTGGGAGATGATTGATACAAGTTCTGTTTCTTGTTACTAGATAAACACTTTGCAGACTGGTTCCTTTGCATGGCAGACCCATGCTTTGTGTAAAACTGAAGTTCGGAGCCTTCTCTCCTGTGTTGTGCACATCCCATGAAACACATTTCTATCTTACAATTTTCAGATTGAATTGCGAAGGTGTAAAAGAAAATTGTTTCATGATGCATGAATGGAGCCCCAAACACTTCTGCTCTTCTGATGGCATTCTAAGATCAGTCCTCAGCAGTGACTTGGGAACAGAAGGTTTTCCCATTCCTTTTTTTCTCTTCTTTTGATAGGACGTGGCAGTGGTGGCTGCCTGAAATCCAGAGAGGATCTCGACATCATTCCCATGGAAGAGCAGAGGGCAGGGCTATTTAGAGGCAGGCTTATCTGGGCTGCAGCTCACACCCTTACGTCACTTCTGGTTGTGTTTACCCACCTCTTTGTCACAGGCAGTGGCAGTGTCTTGCTGGAAAATGCTGTCTCTTTTCAGAGGGTGGGAGCTGCAAAAGGCAGTCAGTGCAGAAGCATTTTTCTGTACTGGTCCATGCAGGTGGATTTCCTGGGCAGTGTTTGGATACTGTGTTCCACCCACAGCTGCCAGGGATGCTCATTTCTTGTAAAACAGTGAGTGCAAGGAGTGTTGTTTTGATGGCACAAGGCCTTGAGGAGCAAGAGCAAAAGGTTTCCCTACTTAGGAAAAGGTTCAATGAAGAGGACTTTTGTTCTTTTTCATGGCTCAACCCAGCAGTGGACTGATGAGGTGACTTCTTGTCTGGCTACATCTGTATCGTGTTATGAAAGGCAATGGGCTCTGCTGTCCAAGCCTGGTGATTGTTGCACTTCCAGGCATTTTGCAAGCTTTCCCTTGTGGTCAAGTGTTCTAAAGATGCTGAGCGTTGGAATGCCAGTGCTGAGGGTGAAGGGCTGTGTGCTGGGAGGGCTGCAGGAGCTCCGGGTTTGGCTCAGGGTGGGGTGCAGGATGCAGAGAAACAGCGGTGCAGGAGCCCTGTCGCATTATGGTAGCCATGTCTTCAGAAGTCTGTTAATTTACGTTTGTTGGAATTACACTTAAGTAGACTGGGCTGAGTCCTGCCTTTGATTGCTTCAAATAAAGCCAGCAGGAGTGATGGGTAGAGGAATGGGAACAAGATGGCATCACAGGCAGCAAATTAACTGAACTGGTAAGATGTTTTTCGGGTTAGGTCTTGGAAAAACATGTCTAACTCTGAAGGAATTGAGGGTCAGAAGCCATCAGCCATTGCAGGCTCTCATTTTGGAGGACAAAAATAGACTTTTCCTGTACTAACCTTCTGATGCAAATAGAGTGCGTGTTGGTGCAGAGCTGTTTGTTCTCTCTCATTTCTCACAGCTCTTCCAAATAAGAGATGAAAATGTTTGTATGCAGACGTGGCTCCGAGGTGGGGCAGAGCTGCTTTCAGACAACGGATCCCAGAGGTGCTTGGGAGATTTATGTCTTGTTTCTGTCTCTGCAGGGATGGTGAGGGCTCAATGAATGCCGTGATAGGAGAGTGATGTCACGTAGAGCCAGGAGAACCCAGCACTGAAGCCTCCAAAACACCCCTTCAAGTGTTACAAGGGAGGAGGCAGGTTGTGTTCTTAACAGTAGGAAGTTCTGGGGGAATGCCAGAAGTAACAACCTATTTTTGTGCTCTTTTGTATACAGTAGCTTCTCCAAAGGACACAAAGCCCGCTGCATTTACCTTTCTTGATGTCCTGGAATATACAGAGCCCAGAGTGTGTGCTGAGCTGGGGACCAGGCAGAGGATTAGCCGGATGAGTCACAGGGATGTGCAACTCTACATCAATCATATTCG